TTTTTTTTTTTTTTTTTTTTTTTACTGAAATTTATTGTTTTTATTATTATTATTAATTTTATTTTACTGTATTTGTATTATTTATAAATATTTATAACTTTAAGGTAATGTAGGTTTTTGAATATAGTAGAAGCATTTTTATTGTTAAACTACTACTATTAAACTATTTAAAATTGTTTTCAGTAATTTAAATAAAGCTAAAATCAAATAACAATGTAATATATAATAGATGAAAAACTGATGAAAAACAAAGTTTGTTAAAGTACTAAAATTATTCAAACTAAAATTGAAATAAAACTAAAACTAAACCGAAACCGAAACATAAAAAGCTAATAATAAATCACAAAAATGACAAAATTAGTAAAACTTCATGTAAAACTGAAAATATAAAAGCATGAAACAATATTGATAAATACTATAATATAATATAGTAAATAAATAATGCTAAAATAACACTGGTTAGTTAATGAAACCTAATTCATTAACTGTTAATGTATTGAATGTTATTGTAAATGTTTGCCAATGAGTTTTTGCACCAAAGTTTTGTAATTGTAAGTAGCAGATTTATGGATTTTGACCACATATAAATTGAAATCAGTTGTGAATTAAGATACTGTCTTGTGTAAATGTTGTGCCAGAATTTGTTGTATAGAAAAGGACAAACCATAGACACCAAAACTCTTATTGATAGTTGAACATGACTAAAATAATTTGTCTTGATTTTAATTAGTTTTAAAGTGCATAGCCGCTGGTTTTGTGGAACGCTTTAGACGTTATATATCTATGAATGAATTTTATTTTAATATTGTTTCAAGGGATGTCAAAAGAGTATGTTTCTCATCAGTCTCACCCACATTTCTATAAACTCAGAATGGTAACCCTTCCCAATAACCTTTGTGTGAAAGTGCACCAACAATAACCATCTGGACACCAAAAAACCTCTTTGTGAGCTTTTCAAAGTGTCCTGGAAAAATAGAGCGAGTAGACAGAGAACACATTAAAGTCGGTCATGCCACAAAAGTGGGAAACAAGGCCACATGCTTATAGTGAAGGAAAAACATGGGCTTGGGATGAACAACACATGGATGAACGTCTTCAAACGCAGCGAGAAGGCCGCAAAAGATACCGCCGTCAATTCTTCAGGCCAATCATCAGCAGGACCAAGATAGGAATCACACTGTCGGAACGAGTTAGATTGAATAAGCCTCTCCGTGTAGATTCATGCTTCCCGCTAACGTGCTCCCGCAAAGAGACACATGCATTTGGTTTGTTTAAAGAACAAAAAAATGAGGAGAATCTTTCGTAATGGGAAATTAGGTCAGAAAACCACTTGATGCAAATGTAATTTCCAGACAGGGATGCCTCTGGGCTCGGTCTGCGGTCCGCTGGCATTGTTAGCCACATGCCATAGTGACACTCACCCACGATCATCCCATGATCCAGACGTTTGATGATGTCGAACGAGTTCTGGACGTTTCCTTCCAGGATGTCGTAGACAATCTCCGGGGAGTCCATGTGAGGAAGGTGAGAAGGTGTGGGAGATTTTAGGAACACAATTTCTGGGGGGAAAAAAAACATGGATTTTATTAGAAGACACTTTGAAGATGGGTGTGTCTCACTGTGCTGAGATGTTCAGAGTGAAGAAACATCAGAATTGAGGCCTGATGTTTGGCTCAGTGATTGCCATTGTTTTATTGTTGTCAATTTATTATTGAATTTCTTCAGCCTTCTATGTAAGTATGTGAACAAACATGCAAGGATTTGGTGGGCGTGGATACCAGGGTTCAGCAATATTCAGAAGTGAAGGAGTTGCTTCTTTGAATCCATGAGTGGGAATTTGAACTGAATTGACCACAGTACACAGGAAGTTGAATTTTACCTATCTGTCTATCATTTTGTCCATTGTTTTATCATTCTGCCTATCATTCTGTCAGTCTGTCTTTCTAAATGTCTGTCTGTCGAGCTATATATCTATCTATCTATCTATCTATCTAGCGATCTAGCGATCTAGCTATCTATCTATCTATCTATCTATCTATCTATCTATCGTTCTGTAATTTTATCTATCCATCTATCTATCTATCTATCTATCTATCTATCTATCTATCTATCTATCTATCTATCTATCATTCTGTAATTCTATCTATCTATCTATCTATCTATCTATCGTTCTGTAATTCAATCGTTCTATTGTTCTGTAATTCTATCTATCTATCTATCTATCTATCTATCTATCTATCTATCTATCTATCTATCTATCTATCTATCTATCGTTCTGTCATTCTATCATTCTATTGTTCTGTAATTCTATCTATCTATCTATTATCTTTTTATCGTTCTGTAATTCTATCGTTCTATTGTTCTGTAATTCTATCTATCTATCTATCTATCTATCTATCATTCTGTCATTCTATCGTTCTATTGTTCTGTAATTATATCTATCTATCTATCTATCTATCTATCTATCATATGTTTACATTTACATTGAAAAGCATTTGATGGAAATGGAAATCACAGCTTTACCTTCTGGTTTGTTGAATTCTCTGAAGGTGGGAAGCGAGATGGCCGTGTGTGAGATGGAGAGGATGGGATTGAGCATGCAGGAGATGTCATTGGGCTGGCAGGACTTCACACATCGGATAATATCGGCACGATCGACCCTCGGCCTGCTGGAGGAAGACAACACAACCGTCTGAACCAGAGCCAAGCCACTGACCTTTGTCCTGAGCTACATGTCAGCTGCTTCTGGGCTCTGCCAGAGGAATACATGCTAATGATGCAGGATTCGGTTTCCCCCTGTCGGCACCGTTCTCAATGACGACATGCTAAAATGCCAAAGTGCTCCAAACACAGTAGGGCCCATTGTGAGACGGCTCGAGCAAACAGGCCGTGATCTCTGGTGATGACTGGGTAAAATAATCTTCCTTCACAGTTGAAGCCCTCCAACAACCGGATGGTTTCCAGCAGAACCCACCACAGAACCAAGCACCCAGCGGGCGGGTGAAACCTTTACTGTATAAATATTATTTGCACAAATACACTGGCCATTCTTAATATGGAGCTCATAACACAAACAATCAGGTTTTTAGGGGGTAAAAATCAGAACAGAAGACTACGAGAGGCCAAAAATCACACCACAGGAGAATTGGTGGTCGAGTTTCCTGTTAGCCACTCATGGTTTTTCGATGCTTTTTCGAAGTTGTGACATTGATGTAAAACTTTCTCCGAAAAAATGTTTGGTTTAGCTGAGCATTCCTGGTTCGGTATCCCAAAATCTCTATGGAATTTATGGAACGAGGGAGCTTTAAATCCTGAACCTCCTGACAAGACAACTCCAACTTAATTTAAAGCTTTGTTCGGGTAATCAAACACAGACTTTGGATCGCAAATGAGATCTCTTTAATCTCCAGTTGTTTCTCCTACATAGCAAAGAGATTCAATTGTTAAGTTTTGTTAAATCTCATTGCATTTTTAAAATGTATTTGGTATCGGTCAATACTGGATATAACCTTTACTGTCATCAAATGCTCACTTAAAATCTATAAATGTATACATTATTAAAGACACTTATAATTTAAATGTAATTCTGAGTAAATTTCAAAATGAATAAAAAAAATGTATACTGTATATTGTAATGTTATGATATCTAAATTCACTAAATATATATTAAAAAAACGATTCTAAATATAAAAATTTTATAATACTGAATTAATAAAAAATAAAATATGAACGAAAAAATACAAGCTAATTAATTTTTAATTAATTTTTAATTTTATGTTTACACATTATGGTATTTTGTCTAAATAAAAATAAACAAAAAAATAAAATATAAAAGTAAAATACAGTTTTAATAATTGTAATACAAAATTGTATACTATTTTGTCTAATTAAAAAAAGTTAAACTAAAATGAGTTTTATTTAAATAAAATATAACAAAATATATAATAACAAAATATTTAAATAATTAAAAAAATTAAGGTTTTATAATATTTAGTCTAAATAAAACACTAAACTTAATTGTTTTATTTTTTTTTACATTTTTAATAATTTAATACGAAGTTTAAGATTGTCTAAAATGCTAAAATTAGTTTATTAATTTATTTAGACAAAATAAATATTATAAAATGTATCATTTTAATTCAAAATTAACAAAAACAAATGAATTAGTTGTAAACAAAATATATTCGTTTTTATTAATTAAATACAAAATTTAAGATTTACATTTTATGTTTTGTGTATTTTTATTTATTTACACAAAATATTATAAAATTAATACTGTTAATAAAAAAATGAAAGATTAACAATTTAAAAATAAAACACGAAAATTTGTTTTATTTTTAATGTATTTAGACAAAATATTATACAATTTGTAATATTAACCGTTGGCCATAACATGGACAGTAAAATATCATTCCCAGCTGATCGATATTTGTAATATCGGTGCATCACGGGCCCCGTAACAAGCTAGCGTTAAAGTGAACAGCTCTAGTGAAGTGTGCTGAAATGTGTGCATCGTGCCGTGATTAGCTGACCCTCATCTCTGCACGCTGTGATCGGATGCAGGAGCTGCAGTGAAACCCCAAAGCTCAGATCAGGTTACGGCCGAGAGGAGAGAAGCCCCTGACAGAGAAGTCAAGCCACCGCTGGGCACGGACCTGTAATTAGCAATTAGCGGGTGGGTCCACGTTTAGCTTAGGCCTGAGCCAAAGCCACAAAATGTTCTCCCTGCTTATAATACCCAACTTGTGCACAACATGCAGAGTAAGAAAGAGGGGCAAATGGTGCAAATAAAGAGCCGAGAGCTCTCGCTAACTTCAAAGCTAATGTCAAGGCCTTGTGGCGAACGCGGCGCTCACGTGGGCCAAAACGCCAAATCCCGATGTGTGACTTGAGGGGAAAAACATGGCTTTTGGACGGGCCGTGTTTCTGGTCAAGCAGAAAGTTCTTCTTTTTCTCTCTGGTAATTATTATTTATAGTCAGTGTCTTGATAGCAAACCAACACAAACATTGCGGCCCATCATTTTTCGGTGCACGGCGGCGATGTAGCTTCGCCACAAATTGCTCAGACCACTGTCCAAAGCCCAGAATCCCATAATGCACTGTCAGAAAGTGTGTGTGTGTGTGTGTGTGTTTGTGCATGTGTGTGTGTGTGTGTGAGTATGCGTGTGTGTGTTTGTGCATGTGTGTGTGTGTGTGTG